TTTAGAGTAGGATCAAGTTTTCCGGCCAAAGCTAATAACAGAGTCGTCTTTCCAGAACTTGGAGGTCCCAAAAGCAGAGTCATTCTGGAAGGCTTAATCATACCACTTACATCTTTGAGAATTGTGATTTGCCTCTTTCTACTTGGAAGTATGTGAATAGAATTCAAGAATGTCTTTGGAGCAAAATATTGGAAAGAAAAAGAAGTTAGTTTCAATTAGAAAAAAAAGGCAGCTAGGTGCACAAAGAATCTCGCATTAGCAGGGTCCGAGGGAGGGTCACACCCCAAGGGGGTGATGACCATAATCTTGCATTACCCTAATGTAAGGATTAGTGACTACTTCCACGACTCGAACCTGTGACCTATAGGTCACATGGAAACAACTTTATTGTTGCTCCAAGACTCACCTCCTTAGTTTCAATTAAAAGAAATAGAAATATTAAAATGTTTGTTTTTTTCTTTCATATTTGTACCTCAACAAAATTGGTCATGAAGTTGATAAACGTAGGCAAAGCTCTGCTTCCTACAGATGCATCTGCATCAATGTTTAGATGCTCATATCTCACTTCTATTGATGGCAAATCAATCCCAACTCTGAAAATTTTCAAAAACGAAGTTAAATACAGAAAATAGAAAAGGGATACTCAACATAGTTAGAAAAGAAAGAAGAGAGAAGGCCAAAATTCGATGCACTAAGTTCTCACTATCCCTAGGTCTGAGGAAGGGCCAAGGTCGGAGCCACAATTGTAGTTAACTTTGACTCAAATCATGTTTGTGTTTAAAATTTCATTTAATATGTAAAAATAATCTATTCAGAACCCAATAAGTAAAATGAAGTGTGGTTCAGAACCCAAAAACTAAAAATTCTAGCTCCCCCTCTCGAAAGGCATCACATCTGGTCATTGTACACGGCTATATCTTGTGTTTCTGCAATAGGATGTTATCATGGATTAAGCCTTGACCTCTGGACACAACTCTTGTTATGCAAGGGGTCAGGAAAGGGCCGAACCACATTAGATCCATTGTACACAGTCTTACCTTGCAACTCTGTACGAGGCTGTTTTCACAACTTAAACCTGTGACCTTCTGGTCGCACAACACTAACTCTTACGTAGCGCCTAGATTTTCCAAAATGAAAAACGAACTATATATAAATGAAAAGTTCAAATTATCTCACTTACGTCTCAATTCTGTTCTTGAGTTTCAACAAGAACTTCTCATTATCTTCATCAGCAACTTTCACAAGCCTATCAAGCAAATTCTTCCTTTCTTGATGTCCAATATCATTTGTATCAACTTCAGCAGCAGCTTCACCTTCTTTTCCAAACAATAAACCTTTTCTCATCCGATCAAACGTAGGCAATTTTTCCAATGCAGCCCATTTAAGAGCCTCTTCATCATCCTCATCTCTTGCTGAACGCGAAAATATCGAGTTGCTAGAATCTGCCCTCAAACTTCCCCTCATACTACCTCTAAAATTGTTAAGATTCGCTGGCTCCATCATGAACCAATGTCCACTTGATCAATCAATAGACTAATCTTTTTTTTTTAGTTCTCCTCAACTCTAAGCAGAACTCCTAAACTATGCAAATGATGACTTTTCGTCGTACCTAAAAATGAAAAATTGTTTCCAATACTTCAAACTTGTCCAAATGTACATAACTAGAGTATGGGGAGATACCGAAATATTTTTTCTTGATTTTTTTATTTTTTTATTTATTTTTGGTGCTCTTTCACTTGTAAGATGATATGGTTATAAAGAACAAAAGAATATTTGGTGCCAATTAGATTACAAGGCAGAGCACTTATGTAGCAGCAAACTCAGGATATATTAACGCAAATGTAGTCTTTTTATTCAACTATTTTTTATGTGAATATTTTGCCTTTCTAGATTATGATTAGATATTAAGGAAAATCTAGAATACTCAAAAGCCACCAATAAATCAAATCAATTATACAATGATATATTATGAATGGCTGATTAAGCCAAACTGCATCAAGTAAAATTGATGGTATATATTTTTCATTTATAATTTAAAAATTAGTACTAATTATTCCTACACAAAACTTGGAATTTAGTAAGTAATTAATTAAAAAAACACACAGTAATAATAATTAAAACAAAGGTTAAGAAGAAACAGTCTTCAATTTGTTACCTGTTGGAGAATCAGTACAGCTGATTTGTAGGGATTTGAATATATAGTTAGTTTATGGGTCTCTCTCAAAGAGTGACTGTTTTGCTTCACCGCCACCGGGGAAGGAGATGGAACAGCTTTGCCGGCCGGAAATAACATCTCCGGTGACTGTGAAAGAACTGTGTGGTCCTACACGCGCCGGCGCGTGCTTCGACAGAACCGATTGCGGTGGTATCTCCGGAGTGGCTCTGTAAAATCCGGCTACTTTGGTGGAATTTGAAATGTATGGCGGTTGTGATCGGTCTCCGAGCATTTTGTTTGATGAATTCGGAAATGGTGAAGATGGAAATCAATTCTACTGGTTTGAGCTACGATCAATTGAGTATTTGATTTCATCCAAATTATCATATAAGAGGTGTTTTTTTTTTTTGTTTAGTATAAAATTTAAATGTTTATTTATGTATATTTAAATTAAAATGTATATTTATATATTATGATTTCTAATATATTTTCAAAATTTCGATCACACAAATTATCCTGTCCGGTTCGAAAGCTGATTGATCAACTTGTAATAAAATTGAATTTGAAGTTGTTTAACTAATTTTCTCTATTACCTTGTCATATATATTAAATCTATCAAAATTGACCTTTGACTAGATTTTATGTACGCTTACCATAGACCTTTTAAGTGTCATATATATATATTTTAATTATTATCTATTCAGATCATGTTATTGATAAAAAATCACGTATAATGAACTCTATATCTTTGAGTCTTGATATGTTTTTTGCTCTAGTATTGTATCTCTTTTTGAATACATTATCGATTGGAACATCCTTATCTATCTTTGTTTCTTCTTTGAATTGAGAGTCATGTTGATTTGCAAAATGTCCATCACATCTCATTATCTTCAAGAATTAATAAGTGGATTGAGTCACTTTGGAGTATTTACTCATTTTTGTGTCTTTTGTGTTGAATTTAAAACTCAATTCAATGTTTACATATTCTAAGAAGTGATAATGTTAAAAATATATGTCAAAATTATTTCGATCATATTTAAGACAACTAGTCATTCTCCACTAGTCTTTATATATTGATACATCCTCTCAAAATGAAGTAATTGAAAAGAAGAAAAGACGTCTACTTGAGGCATTTTGTTTCAAACGGAGCTTCTTAAACAGTTTTAGGTAGATGCAGTATTTACGACTTGCTTTCTGATTAATCGCATGCCATCATTTGTGCTTATTGGTAATACTTTTTGTAAGACATAATACATAAATATGCCCTTTAACTTGGTTTCAACTATTATCTATGCTCTCCAACCTTGGGTGTGTACAAGTATACACTTGAACTCGTATAAAATTGAACAAGTAGACACACATGTCCTACGTGACATAATACACATAGGACACCTCATAGGACATAAAATTGCCATGTAGGACCCCATGTAAGACAAAAGTGTCTATTTGTTTAATTATACAAGTTTAAGTGTCTACTTGTGCACACTCAAAGTTAAAAGTAATAATTGTCAACTGAAGCCAAGTTAATGGTCATGTTTTCTTTTTTCAAACAAGTCACTATTTTTTTATGGGATCTAAGGTATTGGATGCACATGGTATGTTCAAGATGTTCGGCCATCTATTACCAAGTTAGATCCTTTGCATTGAAGTGTGCTTTTTCTAGGTTACTCATTCAAAATGTGTAGAGGTGTTATTCTAATGAACTTGAAAAATATCATGTATTAGATGATGTTATATTTTTTAGGACTAAATCATTCTTCTATGCACCTCCCATTTCTACAAGTTTGGGGGGAAGAAAATGAGTGGTTAATTTGTCAAGTCACTCATTATGTGATTTGATTATTTGATAGAGCAGTGAGATGTTGTTTCTCCATTTTCCAGTTCTTCTATTAATCACTAGTACACTACATATCTATTGTATCTTCACTATCTATCCATTTTCTGGCTAGACAAAGAATGGTGCCTAATTCAAGAGCTAAAGGGCCATTCTGCATTGTACAAACTAGAAGTAGTACTTTTCAACACTGAGAGGGGAAAGTAAGAAGAAAATAAATCCAAACAAGGATTAAATCCCTTGTATATATTCATTCATTGATAAACAAACAAATTATTTGATTGTACAACAAAACTTGGAAACAAGGAAGAAACCAAAAAAAGAATACAAACAATCTTAACAAAGTGAACTGTACATAGAGTTCTGTGTCCTCTTCTTTCTCTCAGGTTGTTAGAAAGTGAACACTCTTTATCTTTTCTGGAAGTTGAATGCCTTAATGGCAAATGCAAACAGGAAGGCGAAAACAACAGGCCATGCAACGATTATTGCTGCAACGACTCCTAGAAAATCATGCTTAAATCCAAAATAACGCCCCAAGAATTGTTCCACATTTTCTTCTTTGCTAAGCTCAGTTTGGAGGTCTCCGAATTGTGATGCAACAAGACCATACAAGGTCCACGCGACAGGGCAAAGCCAATAGTACCATCTCCACCATATTGGAATTCGCTGTTTTAAGCAAAACAGACAAAGACAACATGTCATTTTTCCGAAATTCAGTTTAGTTTAGGTGGATAAAAAGAAAGATGGAAATGAAGGATTTTCAAAAACTTACAGGTCGGGGAACGATGAATCCTGAGAAGAGATTCCATACTGCATAGAAGAAGGCCGCTACTATAGAAGCAACGTTTTGATTCGGGGAAATAGCCACAGTCATCATGCCATAGAAGGTGAAGTACAAGAGAGTGAAGTACATGATGAATAAGTACCAAAAGAACTTGGCAACAGTCCATTCGAATCCGATCATTGCATACACAATTATACCATAGAAAGCTGCCTGTACAAATACATAAGGTATTTCAACGATAACCTGTCCAAAGGCATAAGGTAAAGCAGAATACATTCCAGCAGCTCTTTCTCTGTAAAATACAGTACGCTCAACGGCTACAACAGGCTGGACTGATGATGAATTTTGTACACCAAGGAAGAGAGTTGCAGCATACATAGATCCCATGGCATTAAATAGATCCTGGCTCTGACTCCTGTGATCAATAAAGATCGAAAAGTTTAGGGAAAAAGTTACCTATTTTTCAAGTTTATATTTACTTACTGTGATTTTACTTACACTCTGCTACCAAGATCCCAGAACAATGTGCCAAAGACAAGTGCAAGGATGACTGTGAAGATGAATCTAACTGCCGTGTAAGATGGATTACGCCAGTATGACAAATGTTGCTTCCAGAGACATGCCATACATTGAGTCCAGAAAGGCTGTGAAAATTGAGTTTCAAAATGTAGATCCTTTGTACCAGGACGAGGCGTACTTAATTCAACAATTAAGGCTTTGTTCCTCTTGTAGAGCTCTGATTTCTTGTACAAATCAGCAAAGTCAACTCCTAACATCATTTCCTGAGAAGCGGATGTGACTTCTAACATCCAAGTTGCTGGATTGTAAGCCTCTTTAATCTTACTAACTTCAGGCAATGACTGAACTCAACACGAAACTAATATTAGTATTTGATTATATAAACTAGGAAAAAGTAAACACATATTTTTATCAAGACAATGGCAGAAGCTATTACCTCAAAGTATTTGATCAAATGACAAGAATAGCGACCCAGAGGACCAACATATATCTCCTGTCCTCCTCGTTTCATTAGAAATAGCTGCAAAGCCATGTTTCATTTTTAGTATCAGGTGGCAAAGAGAAAGAGGTACCAAATATTAGCTATTTAGCTTAATTGTGTTGGAAGGTTAATAAGCTCACCTCATCAAAGGCTTCAAAAATGTCGATGCTAGGCTGATGAATGGTACAGACGACGGTTCTTCCTGTATCGACAGTGTTCCTAACAGCTCTCATTACAATGGCAGCAGCTCTTGCATCCAACCCTGAAGTTGGTTCATCCATGAAAATGATAGAGGGGTTTGCTACCAGTTCAACTGCAATGGTCAGCCTTTTGCGTTGCTCCGTTGATAGACCATTGACTCCAGGCAATCCAACTAAGGCTGATCTTAAGGGAGTTAGCTCCACAAGTTCCATAACTTCCTCAACAAACATCTGCAGAGTAGTGATATATCAATTATGCAATTGCCCTGCCTTACATGTTTCTTTAATTTGTTTGACCAATTTTATGGAGAACGGGTTGAGGGGAGCTGACCTTTCTCTTGTTTTTATCAACATCTTGAGGTAAACGCAACCAAGCTGAGTAAACCAATGACTCATAAACTGTAATATAAGGCGAATGGATGTCATTCTGCTCACAATATCCAGAAATACGTGCAAACGTTTCTTGCTTCTTCGGATATCCAGAAATCTTGATGTCACCATCAATATATCCTCCTGTTTTTCTTCCGGCCAACACATCCATCAATGTTGTTTTACCAGCTCCACTAACGCCCATCAAAGCTGTGAGAACACCTGGCCTGAAAGCTCCACTCACACCTTTTAGAAGTATCAATCTATCTTCAGTGGAACCTTGGTCTTTTATTTCCTGCAATTCATTCAAAATTGTTAAGTTAGTTGTTCATAGAAAATAAAAGCCTTACAAGTCACGAATATTATTCATGAACAGTTCTGGAAAGTTACCTGAGGCATGTCAACGGAGTATACAATGTTATCAAAAGTGATTGAATGCGGTTCAAATGGAAGAACCATTCCCCTCTTCTTGTCCTGACCATCAGTTTCACTTCCCTCAATGAGTCTAACATTCTCACTGTCTTCTGATATTATAGCTTGTGGCTTACCAAAAGCTGAAGATGTTTAAGAAATATGGTATTAGGTCGTAGTATATGTCATCGTTCATTTTATGTTCTTTTCAAGGGGAATTTAAAGGCATCAGAGATACTCACGGTTCAGGTAAGCGAGTCCAATACTGTAGCAGAGGTTGAAGATTATTATGTATCCGATAAGTGCCCCAACACCTATCCAGTACCAATATGCATCTGGAAAGAACCCTCGAGATCTTACTACAGCATGTCCAAGTGGCTCAGCTCCATTTTGCGCAATCTGTTTAAATTAAGAGTGGATATGAGCTATTTGCATGTCGTTTGGAATAAAAACACAAGAATTTAGCTATTTGCATGTGGTTTGGTATAAAAACACTTACATGTTCCCATTTCTTCCCATCAAATTCATTCACAAGAATTGAATTCACAGAATACATTAATGGTGAGATCCAGTAACCCCAGATCCACCATTTCTTCACATCATCTGTAGTATCATGCAAAAAAGAATATAAATAAAGGAATGATTGAACAAGAAAAATAATTTTTGCGAACGTAATAAAACCTACTTCTCGAGAGGACAAATCCAGACAATGCAAATTGCAAAACCAGTGCAAATGCTCCAAATGTGGTAGCGACTCCCATTGTTCTCCCTGCTGCACCAATGAATCTGAACAATCCCGATGCCATCTGGTGTACTAGTACGAGAAGCAAGAATTGTTTGAACAATCTGCAAAGCCATAGTCCCTTAAAAATCATGAAATTATATGAAGGCCATCTAATTATTACTCTGAACAATCTTTTTTTTTTCTTTTACCTTGAAACATTTGGATCAAACCCCATGACATAATATGTAAGAAATGTCCAAAGACCAACTTCAATAAATGTTATTGGGATTTTGAGGATCCATGTCAGAAGGGCATAAGCCCATGAAGGATAAAAAAGAAGGTCCCTTTGCTTGAAGTAGACTGGAAGCTTTAAAATCGTCAGGTTGATCTCAGCCATTCCATTAAACATAATCACAACGACTACGAAAAAGAGAGCACCAGCATACATCCCTCCATCATCCATATCATCTCGGGGCATCTTAGTACGGAAAAAGACGGTCATCATTATAAATGCCATTATCATGAGCTGAGAAAACAGAACAGAAACAAAGATTATTTGTAATTGCCACATGGTCATGATATGGAAAACATTTTTATATTACTAATAGACTAAGTAGTAAGTACCTGAAAGAGCTTGAATATGTAAACAAATGAGTTCCTCTTCATTAGTAAGAATTCTCGGTCAGCGCAGACCTTCAACAGTTGTTTCGTCCCTATACCATACTTCTTAGTAGACAAAGCAGCAGGGTGGCTTTTGGTCTTGTCATATGGAGTTGTAAGCTCATCAGCGAGTTTCTTTCCAACATGGAAAGACTGATATGCCTCAGCAAATTCTTTTGATGTGATAAACCTATAAGGCTTATCCTTCTTAGCCCAATATTGTTGTTGATCCTTCTTTGACGTTACCTGCAAGAAATAATTTAAAACTTCATTCTTGTATGCCTAAGACATAGTTAACTACATAAAAGTTTGGTATATCTAATAGATTAAGCTTTTATGGTGGTCACACACTTCAACATAGTATCATAATAGGTTGTTGGTTAACTCTCATCACCCTCCATCAAAAATAATCAGAGTGGTACATGAAGAGACACATTGAAGACATAATGAACTATATTGTAAGACACAGTTCAATACAACATCATAAACTTCGCAGGTTATACTCTATTGTAAGACATACCTCTTGCAAAAAATCTGCCACACCTTTCCTCTCAGGGCACTTGAATCCCATGGATTCAAAGAAGTCAAGAACGGCTTCCCGAGGGCCCTGATAGACAATGCGTCCATCCGACAACAGAATGATGTCATCAAATAAATTGTAAGTCTCGGGGGCTGGCTGCAACAGAGATATCACAGCAGTTCCCTTCAAGAGCTGCACTGATTGTCTTAACGAATTGACAATGGAGAAAGTAGTTGAACTGTCCAATCCAGTTGAGATTTCATCCATGAAAAGCGCCTTTGATGGTCCAACAAGCATTTCACCTGTCGTTACACGTTTCTTTTGCCCCCCTGAAATACCCCTTAACATTTCATCTCCCACCATAGTATCAGCACAGACATCCAGTCCCAAAATCTGGAAATGGAAGTCAAATTAGTAACATCCATAAGATAGGTTATCCACTACATCAAGTTAAAAAGCACTATATACACTAAATCCTTATTAAGCGAAATAATTGAATGTTGTAAATGTTACCTTAAGAACATAATCTGTAACAATGTTGGCTTCCTGTCCTTTTGTTACTGAAGCCTACATTTCCAAAAAACAAAAAAAATTATCATCTATAAATGTAAATATAGTAAAGGCTTTGGTATTATTCCCTTTCATGTTTTTCTGTTGTATTCTTACCTTCATGTAGATATCAATATCATGATCTGGCTTGATATTAGCAGCTTTCTCTCTTCTTGATAGTTCAGCCAACATCTCTATACAAGTTTTCAGAAAAAACAAAGCAATTAATGATTGTCTATATATTTTCAGTGCCCAATTAAAAATAAAACTCAATGATAATTCGTACACTTACCAAACGTTTCTTAGTTATAAGAAAAAAATACTAACCATATCTAGGGCCAACTCCTTGGCATCTTGCAGAAAATTCCAAAGTTTCCCTTACAGTCATTTCTCCAATATGCAAGTCATATTGGCTGATATACACAGCTGTTTTTTGGGGAACAAATTCATGTAGTTCATGCCCATTATAGGTCACATTCCCAGTAACCTGATTTCCATAGAAAAGGGGAAAACTTTTAAAAAAAAACTATCTTATTTATAAAAGGGTTCTACTTCTATGAATTAACTGTGTAAAATATTATAGTATCAAGCTATGCTGTTCGAATTCTTAAAAATGTCGACGGGTGTGTGCGGGTACTTCAAAAAGTAGTGCATATTTGAAGGAGCCGACAGACCATTTTTGGAGAGTAAGAGCAACATAGATATCAAGTCAATTTTGAGGTAATTAAAGGCTATGTTGCTCGGACTCTTCAGTATGGAGCCGTACCAGTGTAGGATCCTCTATAAATACGCTCTTTTGGAGGATCCAACATGTACCCGACATCTTTTTTAAAGAGTCCAATTAGTAAACTAAAATAAGATAGCAATCTTCTACAGTAGGTCAAATGTAATGATTCCGTAAGAAGTCAATTATATAGTCAGTGAATATAAGATATATATTTTATATAATACATAAAATTTAAAGAAAGGAGGTGAAAAAGTTGAATTTTTCTGAATTTTTAAAAAAAAATTACCTTTTAAAATTACTTTAATTTTTTACTTAGTTTTTATGAAAGAAGGAAGTTAAAAAATATTACTGACTGCTACTATAATGAATTTTAATATACATGAAATGAAGGAAAATATACATAGTATATTCGATTAGGAAAATACCAAACTTGCCCCTATACTTTAGGTAGGATCTTTGTTCTATAAGGGTCGAAGGGTAATATGTGATTCAAAGGTTAACGATAAGTGCAAATTTATTCGAAAACTTAGATGAGGGCTAAATACAAACAATTTCCATATAACCAGTTTCTCAAAGTACAAGGGTAAATTTAGTCTTTTTCCCATTATCTATAATATATTTGGTATTGAAAATCTTACCTTTAGAGTAGGACCAAGTTTTCCAGCCAAAGCTAATAACAAAGTAGTCTTTCCAGAACTTGGAGGTCCCAAAAGTAGAGTCATCCTTGAAGGCTTAATCATACCACTAACATCATTGAGAATTGTGATTTGCCTCTTTCTACTTGGAAGTATGTGAATAGAATTCAAGAATGTCTTTGGAGCAAAAATTAGAAAGAAAAAAAGAAGTTAGTTTCAACAACAAAGGAACAACGGCATAAAACATCCCATGTTTGCAGGGTCTGGGGAAGGTCCATGTAGACAATCTATCATAATGCAAGCATTAATGACTGCTTCACGATTCGAACCCGTAACATATAGGTCACATGGAAACAACTTCACAATTGCTCCAAGCTCCCCCTTCCTTAATTTCAATTAAAAGAAATAGAAATATTAAAATGTTTGCCTTTTGTATTCATATGTTTACCTCAACAAAGTTGGTCATGAAGTTGATAAAAGTAGGCAAAGCTCTGCTTCCTACATATGCATCTGCCTCAATGTTTAGATGTTCATATCTCACTTCTATTGATGGCAAATCAATCCCAACTCTGTAAATTTATCCAATGAGAGGGAAAAAAACCACAAGTTAAATACCAATCAATTAAAAAATAGAAAAGGGAAACTCAACTCATAGTTAGAAAAAAGAAGAAGAAAAAGTCGAAATTTCGATGCACTAAGTTCTGGTTATGCCTAGGTCTGCGGAAGGACCAAGGATAGAGCCACAATTGTGGTTAAGGGTTCGATACTAGTAACTTTGGCTTAAATAATGTATTTGTATTAAAAAAAACTTTTAATATGTACAAATAATCTATTCAGAACCAGTAAGTAAAAAAATTGTGGTTCAGAACTCAACTTTAGGTCCTGTTTGGCCACGAAAATTGTAAAATTTGAAAAGCATAATTTTTGTTTCCAAAGTGAAAAATGGTATTTGGAAATTGGAGTTGTTTTTGAATTTTTGTGTGTAATTTGGAGTGACCCCTTGACACACAACCACAACTCTTCTTATGCACTGGGTCAAGAAAGGGCCGACATCCATTTTTTCAAGAGGTTGTTTTCATAACTTGAACATGTGACCTTATGGTCACACAACGACAACTCTTACCATTACACCAAGATATCCCAAAATGAAAAAAACAAACTATATATACATGAAAAGTTCAAATAATTTCACTTACGTCTGAATTCTGTCCTTGAGTTTCAACAAGAACTTCTCATTATCTTCATCAGCAACCTTGACAAGCCTATCAAGCAAACGCTTCCTTTCTTGATGTCCAATATCATTTGTATCAACTTCAGCAGCAGTTTCACCTTCTTTTCCAAACAATAAACCTTTTCTCATCCGATCAAACGTTGGCAATTTTTCCAATGCAGCCCATTTAAGAGCCTCTTCATCATCCTCATCTCTTGCTGAGCGTGAAAATATCGAGCGGCTAGAATCCGCCCTCATACTTGCCCTCATACTTGCCCTCAAACTACCTCTAAAATTGCTAAGATTCGCCGACTCCATCACGAACCAATGTCCACTCGATCGATCAGAAGGCTAATCTTTTTTTAGTTCTCGTCAACTCTAACAAGAACTCGTAAACTATGCAAATGATGACTTCTCGTCGTGCCTAAAAATGAAAATTTTGTCCCCAATACTTCAAAATTGTCCAAATGAACATAACTAGAGTATTGGGAGATACCCAATATATATATATTTATTTTTTTGTGTGTGTGTTCTTTCATTTGTATGATGATATGGTTATAAAGAACAAAAAATATATTTTGGTGTCAATTTGATTACAAGGCAGAGCACATATATAGCAGCAAGCTCAGGATATATTAGCGCAAATATAGTCTTTTTATTAAACTATTTCTTTTAGGTGAATATTTTGACTTTCTAGATTATGAGGAAAATCTAGAATACCCAAATGTCACCAACCAATCAATATCAATATATTATTATGCTAAAATATGAATGGGTGATAAGGCCAAACTGCATGAAGTAAATTGATGATATATATATTTTTTCATTATAATTTAAGAAATAATAATAAAAAAATTAATTAGAGATAAGAAATACTCCATCCGTTTCACAAAAAGTGACCTGATTTGACTTGACACAAAATTCTAAAAAATAAAGAAGACTTGTGATCCTAAATTAAAGTTACGTGAAATATACTAAATTGCCCTTCAATCTTGTGAATTTAAACATGTGACTACTGTGAAAAGCTGAAATTAAAAATCATTCTTTTTTAAACGGACTAAAAAGGAAAGGAGATCATAAC